GGGACATTCAGACTCATTTCCAGAAACTGTCTCTTAATCATGACTTTCAAAAACCAACCAAGTTTTACAAAGGTTTATGAGCAGAAGAAAGTTCAGGACAAATTTAACTGAATCTAAATGTCAAAGGCCAAATGTGACCTGTATGGTTGAATACATTGCATACACCCTCATTTTAAAGTCTCACAGTTGGGCTAGCATCCAGGATAAATTTAGGAGACAAGGCTCAGACAAGAAAATAGAGTCCCTCAGATCCATATCTCTGCCAGAATATGAGTATACACTTTCTACTCAATTACAAAGTATTATAGAAACTCAAGGATGGTAATAATACCTTCATCAATGTCCATGGCATCACCTTACTATTATACAAGATACTTAAAGTGAAAGATTTTTTACTTGAATTGTTCTAGGAACAATAACTGTGACCTCTAGGTAAGACTAAGAGATAAATAAAAATCTCACTGTTTGAATGTATTAGCAATATGTCCAGTACTGTAATGAGTAATCTCATTTCAAACCAAGGAAAGGTGTCAGGAAATGATCAAGCTTCATCTAAATTTAGTGAGTTTATTTGCTCTAGGATTTAGGAATAACAAAGTCAATTTTAGTTTTGATGGTATCTTCTCTTCTTGAAGTGGGAATATGAAGGAACCAAGATGAACTGACAGCAAAACTTTCACAATGAAGCTACTATTTTGTTTTCTGTCTGCAACGAAAATGTGGGAACATAGGACCCAGTTCTGGGGGCCCAACTCTTTCTCCCAAAGAGGCCAGAAAAAGATATCCTAGAAGCCTAATTATCTACAGCTGCAGTGACCCTGGGGAACCATTTTTCTATAATAGTAACATTGCCAATTAATAATGCTAGCTGTCTTCAAAAGTAACATTTGCACCACATTGTACATCAAGATTCAGCAATTACTTCTTCCATTAATTTCTGGTGCTCCAGGTAAGGCTCTGGTTGTCATGGAAGAACATAATGGAGATAATAGAAAGGAAATAAAGATAACAGACCTTCTTGGACTAATCTTCCTTCACGTAGGTGTTGAAAGAAGGTAAATAGAAAACCGAGAAAAGCTATTATTTGTCTATATTAGGGGTGTCGAACTCAATCAGAGAAGGGGCCAAAATCTAAAATCCAGCCTAAATCGCGGGCCGAATGGTTTACTGAACAGTCATAAACTGTCATTGTGATGGAAATGCAGCGGAGTGCAGTGATGACAGCGCGGTGCGGGCCACATTGCAAGGCCTGGCGGGACGGATTTGGCCCGCGGGCCTTGTGTTTGACACATGTGGTCTATATGGATCTGTCCAGTGAAATTCCCAGAGTTAACCAAGAATATTTTTCCTACAACAGACACTTTTTTGAAAGAGGCAAGAAGCAGAAGAGAGACTGATATTGAGAGTGAAGCAGGGGTCTTCAAACTACGGCCCGCTGGCCACATGCGGCCCGCAGAGAAGTCTGATCAGGCCCGCCAGGTTTTTTGGGCAGTGAGCGCAGCCGAGGTGTTACAGTAGGAATTAGTAGTTCATATAGTCTGGCCCTCCAGCTCTCTGAGGGACCGTTATCTGGCCCCCACTTTAAAAAGTTTGAGGACCCCTGGAAGGTCATCATTATACATGTAGGACTTTGCTGAATCTTCCTCCAAGTTTTGTTCTCTGTGTTCAGTATTCTTTCTCTCATATCTTTCTATGTGACATTTCTGCTACCCATTTCCTCTTCTGTGCTTTTGCCTTCAGTAATTTGACTAATTCTCAGTTATAGAACAAAATAATACCTATCCTTAAGAGTTGTTATTCCATTAAGGATTAGAAATAAACATTGTATAAGAACTCCAGTGGGTGAGACCAAGTCAGAACTGATCAATCAATTATGTCCACAAATGGGAGGAAATTAAAGTCTGGAGGGCTTGATAGTAGCACATATATAGGTAGTTGGTAAGTTATTTGTAACTCTTATTTGGGCATTTGTAAAAACACAGTGTATGGATTAGACAGTTTACACATTAGCCAATTATGGTATCAGTATTATTTGGAAGTCAGTGCCATTACACAAATCATTTTAGCCATCAGCCTAACCAGTAGGCAGTGCAGCCTGTTAATAATAATACAATTAAAATGTTATAAATCATTGCATAATTAGCAAACCAAAGTCTGTCATTTTTTTCCAAGAGAATTGATGTTTAATATAGCAGTCAGTAATATAAACAATGCTAGTATTGGATTAGGAGTGCACCCATGTTTTAAATATGTTTTTATTGTTTTTTTCAGAGAGAGAGAGAGGGAGATAGAAATACTTGTGAGAGAATTTGAAAAAGAAGCATCAGTTGCTTCCCATATGTGCCCTATTGGTGATTGCACCCGAAATCCAGGTAGGTATGTGCCCTGTACCTTATCCTGGAACTGAACTGGCACCTTTCAGTGCACAAGACAACACTCAACCAACTGAGTCCCACAGGCCAGGGAAGTACACCCATGTTTTAATTAGAATGAGTTAGAGTCGCTATGTCTAAAGGACTGATAGTAGAAATGTGAAAGACAAAATATTTGTGCTAAATTTTGTGCTGAAGCCTGGGTGATATAGGAAAGACATCTGGAACTTAGAAGAAGTGGGGCAAAATGAAGGAAAAAGATTGTAATAAAACTAAGAAGAGTGTAATGGATACAAAAAGGAAGAAGCAGGAGAATGACAGGATGGAGTAGACATCCAGCTGAAACTTAGGAGGTGCATGAACCATACAGACAGAAATCATCAGAGGCACCCTGCCAGGGTCACCCAAAATTAGATGAACTATGCATATGTATGAAAAACAAATGTGTATGTTGTATAGGGATTTTCCATGTGGCAATAGATAACTGACATAATAATTAATTTAAACTAAATATTGCTTTTTACTAATAGGTAAGATACAAATAATAGCAATCTCTACTGCCTTAGTTTTCTATTGCTTGGAATGAATTGCCCCAAACTGTGCTGTTAAATCAATATTTATTTATAATATCACAGTTCTGTAGGCCAGAAGTTTAGCAGTCTTGACTGGTTTCTCTGCTTAGGGAATCTTAAGGACAAAATCAAGGTTGTGTTAAACTCTTATTTGAAGGGTCTAGAGAAGAATCCATTTCCTGCCTCACTCATATTGTTGGCAGAATTCAGTTTCTTATGGCAGTAAAAGTCTCAGGTCCCTCCCTCTTGTAGAATGTCATAGAATTGGAATCATACAGTATGGAATGTTTTCCCATTGGCTTCTTTTACTTAGTAAGAGGAACAAAAGTTTACTTCATACTTTTTATGACTTGATAATTTAGTTCCTTTTAGCACTGAATAATATTCTATTGTTTGCAGTACCACAGTTAATTTATCCAGGGATCTAATGAAAGACATATTATTTGCTTCCAAAGTTTTTTGTGTTATTTTTTTTTTAATCTTTGTTGTTGAAAGTATTACATATGTCCCCTCCCCCCCCCAATTGACCCCTTCTAACTTACCCCCAACTCCCATCCCAGGCCTTCACCACCCTATTGTCTGTATCCATAGGTTATGCATATCTATATACAAGTTCTTTTGTTGGTTTCTTCCCACCCACCCACTCCCACCTTCCCTTTTAGAATATGTCTAGACATAAAATTTTTAACACTTTTTGGTAGATACCAAGGAGTGCAGTGATTACATTTTATGTAACAGTAGGTTTAGTTTTGTATGTAGCCACCAAACTGTCTTCCAAATGACTGTATCATTTTGTATTCCCACCAGCAATGGATGAGAATCCATATCACCGCCAGTATTTGGTGATTATCAATATATAGGATTATGGCCATTTTAGTAAGTGTGTAAATATCTATGTTTTTTGTTTGTTTGCTTGTTTTTATTGTTTTTTTTTTTGTTTTGTTTTTTACCACTGTGAGGTTTAAAGAATTAAGAAATATCAGATGACTAAGTAATATACACAAATCTAATTGCCTTTACTGAAACATTAAGAATTGGGTGGGGAGGGGAGTCATTTTCAAGTTTTTATATTCTATCTTCTGGAGCCAAATACAATACTTCCTTGAAGCAGAAAGTTGTAAAACTTTATAAAATTTAATATTATAAAAATCCCATGAAGTCACATAAAAGACTTCAGGTACCCTTCTTTGGGGCTCCCTAAGTGGGGTGGTCCTGTAGATTTGCATATTAATTTAGTCACATAGAATATTGCAATGTGAGATTCAATTCAAGTAAAGATTGCATGACCCAAATAAAGTGGTTTTTTGTTCCTCACAAGATCATAAGGTTTGTGCCATTAATGTTCATTTTTGTAGTTAGCATCAATTTCTATTTATTAAATCAATGAGCATATAATATGAATGAATGGTGAATCCAAAATGAAACCACCAAATTCTTTCCTATAATGTAAAACATGATTACAATAGAGATGAGAATATTCTAGAAGATAGAACTAGAATTGGACAAAGGACCTTGGGTTTTAGTTGAGAGTAGGTCAGACATTTGGATAAGCATTAGCTAAAGATTCTGACCCAGATAATAAAGGGTTAGAAAATATTGGAATTAGAGAACTGGAATGAGAAATTTATGAAGGTGGAATACAAGGTTAGCACAATTCTACAGAAAGACTGCGATTTCTTATACTTAAGTGATATGAAAAAAAATTAATTTTATAGTCTAAAGGTGTACTATCCAATACTGTAGCCTGTGCTTAGCTTGAATTGGGATTTTTTTTATAAATGTAAACTAAATACTGGATTTTGAAGCATTGGTACAATCAAGTGTAAAATATTTCATCCACGATTTTTATACTGTTTACCTTTGAAATAATATTTTTAACATAGCAGTTAAGTAAAATACATTATTGAAATTATTTGTCACTCTTCCTCTTTAAAAATCTTATATGCCTATTAGAACATTTAAAATCACATATGTATCTTAAATTATATTTCTACTGGGCAAGGCTAATTTACAGAGACTTCACTTTTATTTGTCTGTTTCAATGCAGGGGTCCACCATGTGGTCCAACACTAGTGCTGATCCTTTCCTACTGACTGGCTTCCCAGGTCTGGAGACATTTCATCCTTGGATTTCCATCCCTTTCTTTGTCATCTATATCTCCATCCTCCTCGGCAATGGCACTCTCCTCTTCCTTATCAGAGAAGACCACATTCTTCATGAGCCTATGTACTACTTTTTGGCTATACTGGCAGCCTCAGATCTAGGAGTGACTTTGACAACAATGCCCACAGTGCTTGGTGTTCTGTGGCTGGATCACAGGGAGATTAGCCACGGGGCCTGCTTCTTCCAGGCCTATCTAATCCATTCACTCTCAATCGTGGAGTCTGGAGTCTTGCTTGTTATGGCCTATGATCGTTTTATTGCCATCTGCAATCCCTTAAGATACACCTCCATTCTCACCAATGCTAAGGTGGTGAAGATAGGTCTAGGGGTTCTACTGCGAGGATTTATACTTATTGTGCCCATAATCATCACCCTTTCTGAATTCCCCTACTGTAGGTCACATGTCCTCTCCCATGCCTTCTGTTTACACCAAGATGTGATCAAACTGGCCTGTGCTGACATTACTTTCAATAGACTTTATCCTATAGCCTTGGTTTCATTAACTGGCTTCTTGGACTCTATGCTTATCCTTATCTCTTATATCTTAATCCTTAAGACTGTTATGGGCATTGCTTCAGGTAAGGAGCAGACAAAAGCTCTAAACACCTGTGTTTCTCATATTAGCTGTGTTCTGGTTTTTTATGTCACTGTGACTGGGCTGACCCTCATTCATCGATTTGGGAAATATGTGCCACATATAGTTCATATCATCATGAGTTATATCTACTTTCTCTTCCCCCCTTTTATGAATCCAATAATCTATAGTATTAAGACCAAGCAGATCCAGAATGGTATCAATCGTCTTCTCTCTTTCCATAGAACTTGAGCTTGATTTACTTAGGGTGTTCTCCCCATTGATAGATGAGTTTTGCAGCAGAATTAATTATATGATACCAATGTGTCTTAGAATCAAAGGGATTGGGATTCTTATCATTTCAAACACAGATCCTCTTATTCTCAGCTCCTTGCCCCATCACATCACTAATGACCTTGGCTTTAGTTCTGTTGCACTGCTTGGTAGATTAGTTTGCTATTTTCTTTTATTTTCTATTCTGGAAAAAAAATCATTACTATTAATGGTTTTGAGGTCAACGACACTTGAAATTATTGCAGGGTCTACACAAAGAAAGGAGAATGAGATAACTTGAAAGAGTTCTGTGTGGAAATAAACAGTTAAGATATTTTCTCTATGTATTGGTTTCAGAAACCCCCTTTGGCATTAGAGTAGATCAGAAATAGATGAGAGTAAGGTATTCAGACCAAGAGAGGTCTTGCTGTTATAATAACCAGAAGGCAAACAAGAAGGATTTCAGCAGATTCCAACATGGTTAGCATTCCACAAAGAATTGTAAGAAGACCTATAGTTGATAATATCTGATGTTTTCCAACTAATAAGCTGAGGACTCCAAATTATCTAACCTATATAATACCGTAAAAGGTCAGGGACCATAAGTGTAACAACAGGAACAACCGCTCAACCAGTCGCCATGAGGTGCATTGACCACCTCTCAGTCCCCTTACCCCTCCGCCCATGAGTCGTGGTGGGTGGGGCAGCTAGTGGCAGTTGCAGTGGGTGGGGCACACAATTTTGTGCACTAGGCTTCTAGTAATAAAATAAAGTTCTATTTTTTGCACACCTAAGATTTTGTTTTGTGTTCTACAAATCATAACTTCCACATATGAAAAAGAGGTACAAATAATGGAAGCATTCTAATAATAATTTTTTTTTCTGGAATGAGAGGTTGGTAATAAACTGCCTTCCAGAAATATTCTTATTTTATATTGATAGTTTTGAAACACAAAGTTAACGTAGGGCCTTCAATGCATTTTATTCTTTGTAGAAGTCAACATGATCAACATCTGTACATTAACAGTATATGAAGAAAGGCTATGTGTTATTATTTCATCAAGAGATTAGAAGGCTTGAAAAGAATTTTGCACGTTAAGCAAAATTATAGGAAACTAGAGGCCTGTTGCATGATATTTGTGCAAGAATAGGCCTTCCTTCCCCTGGCTTCATTCCCAGCCACCCAGGAGCCAGCAAGTCCCCACTCCCAGCAAATCCTTGCTTCTGTCCAGAACACCGCTCTCTCAGCCACTCTCCTCCCCTTCATAGCAGGCGTCCTGCCCCTCAGGGGCGCTTCACACCTACATATGCAAATTCACCAGCTTTGTTGGGTTAATTTGCATACTCACTCTCTTTGGCTCTGGGCATAGCAGAGGTATGGTCAATTTACATGTTTGTCTATTATTAGGTAAGATATGTTGGCAAATGAAATACCAATGTATTCAATCAATAATTAGACCATTAGTTTTTTTTTAATTTGAGAAGATGCATGTCTATAGGGAGTTTTCCCTAATCCCAAAAATATTTTTTATGTGCTTCCCTTAGCATGCTACCATCTAAGTGCTACCATACAGTGCTATGAAAACTCATGATATTTTCTTTCTAATAGCCACTATTGTGTTATAGTCTGTGGGGTGGTGGGGGAAAGACTAAGTTGCTCACTGTGAACCTGGCACAAACCGATTAAATATGTTAAAATAAAATAATTTTAAGAAAAAAAATTGACTGTCATGTACATGGCTACTAAGGAATTTATTAATGTTCTTCTGTATCAGAAATTATTTTCCCCCAAACAAACAGAAAAAAACAAAATTTCAATTGGAATTCATGAATTCCAGGAACAAAGATGGTACAAGTGTCCCTGGGATAAATTAAATCATGTTTGGCATTTGAAGGATGTAAGGAAAAGGACATTCATTGATTTCTTAAATCCCAATGCCTAGGATTCTGGGTGTCTGGGTGAAGAGAAGATGCCACATAATCAAGTCCTGATGTTTCTATATCTGCTGCCCTTTCAATTTCTAATTTTCTTCACACATCTTTTGGGAAACATTTTGTTTAGAGAGAAGAGAGAAGGTAGAGAAATCAAAGAATCTCTTGAGTGTCTATAAAGATGTAACTCTGGGGAGGTGATTTCTATGAACATAGTGAGCTAATGAAACCTCTTGGGCGAGGCTATATGAGGAAATCATTTGGCCTGAATCTTCAAATAGTTCAGCAATGGGTACCTGTTCCAATAACAAGACCTGAATTGATGAATATGAGGGACAGAACTATGAATTCACTCCTTTCCCCTCTAATGTTAGATGCGATCAAGGAAAAACAATTTTAAAAATTTTTCCAGAGGTTTGCAAAGAATGAAGATTTCAGCTGATGTGGGCAACACTATAGCCCAGATTTTCTTTCTTTCTTTCCAATAAGTGTATTAAAGAAACTGTTGAATTTGGACTTTCTAATCTGGACTAGATTGGGAAGTAGGATAACAGGGAATGCCCTAAATTAAATGTGACATTATGTGCTCTTATTAATTTATCTGCATAGAGAATTATAGTTTTTATTAGATCCTAACAGAAGACTGTGTTTGCTTAAGGAACTGCTCTCTTATAAAGGACATTGATAATTATGAGAGAGACTCAGAAGGATAAATCCTGAGATGCTGTCTCTGGCCCAACACCCTGATGCCTAGGAGAGCCTTTCCTCTATTCCACTCAGGAAGGGGTGGAGTGTATATAAAGAGCAGACAAGGGTGAAAGGGAAAGGTATCACACTGTCTTTGCTGTTCACTTATTTTTTTTGGACTTTGTGATGGATTCACAATTCACTATTTTATTTTAAGGTCTATATTTTTAAGCCTAAAGAATATTACATGGACAGAACAACATTTGCACAATTATAATTTAAATTTCTATATGACTTAAAATGTACTTTAATTTTAGGAATCATATAGCATTGGCAATTTTTATCTCAATGAGCATCATGTCAATGCAGATATAACTCTGGAGTATTTGTAACACAAGAGTTGATTTGTCCTGATTCTGATCTACTTCTGCTACTAAGGACATTTTATGAAGGAGGAAAGCATTTTCCTGCTGAGTATGCAGACACTCCTTGATGCTTCCAAATGTTTGATGAAATAAGTCTGCAGCATAAAAGGTAATATGTCCTCAATTTTGGATTGTGGCAACCAAGAATATTGACATAGTGGAGATGACTGACATATTTAAGGTGTGGGAGCATTATAATATGACCAGTCATATAAGCAACAACTCTTCAGGAGCTAAATGTTGGAGGAAAAGGAGATAGGGCTAAGTGAAAACACAGAGAAAGAATCCGAACACATAGTAATGTGAAATGATTTTAGAAACAAGAACCATTGAATGGTGAAGGAACAATAAAAACTATTGCATGAGAATATTTAGAAGAAATGAGATAATCAACCAGGTAGAAAAATAGAAAAAGCATCTATCTCAAAGGTGGAATAGATAAGATATGTTTGGAACAGTACTTCTCAGATATTATTGCGCTTTGTGACAAAATGCAAATTTTGATTCAGGAAGTTGGAAGTGGAGGTCAAGGCATCATGTCTAACACATCCACATACTTATTAGCTGTGGCTGGTTGGTGGACCATAGTTCTAGTAGCCAGTCTCAAGAAAGGGGTAATTGTTGGAGCAATAAATCAATTGGAAGGGGGTAGTGATGCTTGTTGTGTTCCAAAAACACTGACATTCAATTTCAAAAACAAATAAGTATTTTTAAAAAATAATATGTGTATGTGTTTTCCATAATTGTGAAAAAAAATCAAGATCATAATTAAACTGTCTTAAAAGTTAGCAATCAGAACAGGAAAGCAGCTAAGTGCAATTATTATTCATTTGTACTTATTTATCTTGTTTGTTATTGTTATCACTGTTGCTGAAAAAAAAATTAAAGATACACATACTAGTAAGAACTGATGTTTTAAGAATAATAATATTTTTTCAAATTTGAGTATATGTTAAGCATTAACTTAACATTTTGTTCTAATTAGGGAAAGACCAACATTCCTCATCTCGTCTGATACCTGCAAGTCTCTACTCTCCTGCAAGGAAATAGTTTCAGAGTTATATTTAATTATTCCAAAGTTCAAAGATGGTGACTGATACTGCCATGATACTCCTGAAATATCTGGTTTCCTGGATTAAAGATTTCTAGAAAGCTGTTCTTCACCTGTAGACATATTATGTGGCCCAATATTAGTGCTGCCCCCTTTCTGCTGACTGGCTTCCCAGGCCTGGAAACAGCTCATCACTGGATCTCCATCCCCTTCTTTGCAATCTATGTCTCTGTGCTTCTTGGAAATGGCACTCTCCTCTACCTAGTCAAGAATGACCACGCTCTCCATGAACCCATGTACTATTTCCTTGCCATGCTGGCAGGAACAGATCTGATGGTGACATTGACCACGATGCCAACTGTAATGGGTGTATTATGGCTGAATCATCGGGAGATGAGCCATGGAGCCTGTTTCCTGCAGGCCTACTGCATTCACTCTCTTTCCATTGTAGAGTCAGGTATCTTGCTTGCCATGGCCTATGACCGTTTTATTGCCATTCACAATCCCTTGAGATATACTTCCATTCTCACCAATTCTCGAGTGGTGAAGTTAGGAATGGGAGCTTTTCTGAGGGGTTTCATATCCATTGTGCCTGTAATTGTGCGTCTTTTTTCATTTCCATATTGTCACTCTCATGTTCTCTCTCATGCTTTCTGTCTTCACCAAGAAATTATGAAACTGGCCTGTGCTGACATAACTTTCAATAGACTGTACCCTGTCATTCTGATTTCTTTAACAATCTTCTTAGACTCTTTGATCATCCTTTTCTCCTACATCCTAATTCTTAGGACTGTCATGGGCATAGCCTCTGGTGAAGAGAGAGCCAAGGCCCTCAATACCTGTATCTCCCACATCGGTTGTGTCCTCATCTTCTATGTCACTGT